AACGAGATACGTGGTTTGGTAGTTTCACCGTCGATATCTCGTTTGCGGTGTCCGAAAATCTCCGCCTCTATATTATTTTTTCGAGGGAGAACAAATTGACATCATTCCTTGAAGTTTTTGCAGAATTTTTTTCGCACAGAGAAGAAAAATCACGGCAGTTTTAAAGAATTACCGTCGAGTAGTTTTCCGTTTAAAAAATAAAGCATGATAGGAAGTCTGCGACGTCGCAAACCGAATTATGTGATTGCCGACTTATACCGTCGATGAATCATTGATGATAAACGTCTTTAGACGGTAGGCGCACTACAGGCGTAGCTTAAGGAGCGAATTTAGCATAATTAATCCCCCATGTCATGTACACAAGCATGTTTGACAAAACGAAGGAAAGCAACCCACCGCGTAGACATGGAAGACAATGAACCGCATGGAGCGAGAAAGTTCGGCACCCCTCCGCCGTTGAGGCAGGTAAATAACCTGGAGGACTTGCGACTTGCGTGAGTCTGTTAATGAAAATCTCATTCATTCAGCACAGGAGCACTCAATCCCCGAGTGCGTCGTTACACCAATCTTACGACCTAGTTAAAAGTTGCGAGTGGGTGCAGGGCATTTAATATTAATCTATTCCATTTCTTTTCATCCCTCGAGTTGCGTTTATTTGCCGTTGATAAGTTCCGAGCACTTAAACTCTATAAATGTCGTTGTAAAATAAGAGAAGTTTACAGTTTTCTCAGGCGCTCAAAGCGCCGACGGTTTTCATGCCTGAAGTTGCCTTGTTATTGTGAGAACGAGCCGTAAGAGCCTCATTAAAGGAAAGTCCCAGCGGCCTTGTCCTTTTAGTTTCTACTTGCGGCTGTTCTCCTCGGAGAAACCGCTTGAATCACTAACAATAATCATGACATGTAGAGACAAAATTATGGTCATTAAATTGCAATTAGATGGTGAGATTATTTTTATTGGATCGGAATGTTGTAGTCTATTCACAAAATGAAGGAGCTTTTCTGATTGAAACCTACTATCATAAATATGAACTAAGATGCTATTTCTTTTGCACTGCAAATTGCCTACCCTCCTGAAACACGGAACTCATTTTGTTGATAGTTTAACATCGGAATTTATTAACCAAATGATGTAAAAGTATTGCCATTTTATGTTATAAAAATTGCACTTTTATTGCATAAAATTCAGGGCCGGATTCACCTACTTGCCGCCCATGGACCGCCTATATTTTGCCGCCCCCTTCTCATTCGTTTTGAAACTCAATAAACACCATCAAATAAAAGTGCCAGCGGAGGAGGGGTGCATAAGACGCATTTACTCGTGTTGAACACATTTTTTGGGAAAGCTCTGTCAACATTACTAGCAAAAGTTCACGAAACTTAGCGCGAAAGTTAAGTCCCGTAAACCTATCTCTGTGTGGACAAGGCCTTCCATTCATAAGAAATGAACGAAAAAATCGCGAAAGAACAAACATAAATGTGGTTCAATGATTTTAACTTCCGCCGCCGCGCCGCGCAGACCGCATTGTGTTGGACGCAATGCGTGAAGTATTCACGCGGTCTTGTAGGCGCTATGCGTTTCACGCTGACCGCACTGTGTTTGACACAATGCGTGAAGTATTCATGCATTATTGTAGGTGCTATACGTTTCACGCTGACCGCGATGACCGCACTGTGTTTGATGCAATGCGTGAAGTATTCGTGCAGTCTTGTAGGCGCTAATATGTGTTACATGCCGATCGCCGCGCCGAGGGCTTCTCCTGTTCATCTCAAGTCCTCGTCATCATTTCTCTCTAAGTCGCACCGTTCTAGGCCAAATTGCGTGTCGGGTTTCTCTCGTCTCTCCACTTATTGAGGGTGATGTCTCTTGTAACCCTAAGAGACGACAAAATTAGAAATTACTGTACTCTCAGGAAATGAGAGATTTTGTCGCCTTTTGTCGTTTGTAATTTTGTTTTTATAAATCCGATTTTTTTTTTTCTACCTACACTTTAAAAAATTGAAAAATTTGCCGCTCCCTAGATTTGCCGCGATAGGGCCCGCGGCCCATGTGGCCACCCCTTTAATCCGGCCCTGATAAAATTGCAACATCTTATTAAAGGTTTTCGATAAACTGTGCTACCTGGGTATACATTTCACGAAATTTCGCAGTGATAAAAAATTCCAGCCGTGGAAGCCGCATTTATGAGCTATAAAGACGTACAGGCCACCCTCCGGGCGTAGCACCTGGAGCAATAGAATCCACGGCTCCAGCACCTGAAACTTTCGGTCTTTGGGCCCGAAACGGACGTTATGTTTATATTTCCCGTAAGTTGTTTTTCAGTGCGGATATCTCAGTTTATAACACGGCGTTATGCAGAGGGAAAAGGGGGGGGGGAAATGATCGCTTGAATATTATACGAGAAATTTAATGTGAGTCCTTGCGTTACTGATTTTAGGTTTGTTATTCTGTTTCAGCTTAGTTTGATGTGTAACCGAATGTGTAAGAACCAGGACTTCAACTTCTACGTTACTGTGGTTTGCCGCCAAGACTACAATGTTAAGGAAGTACTTCTCTGCAAACCCCAGGGTGCGGCTGCTCCCCTGGCCGCACCCTTATTCTCTGGACTATGGGACCTCCAAGCTTCATGAACTTAGTAAGCTCCATCCACTTAATTCTTTATCCAAATTTGATGCTCCAATTTCTATCTCATTTACACGTACACTTACTTACTTGCTTACTTACTAACGGAGCTACAGCCCTGGGTGGGCTTTGGCCTCCACAACGACTCCCCTCCACATCCCTCTATCTTTGATTTTTTCACTTCATCCTTTTATTTGCATTTTCTTCAGGTCTTGCTCAACTCCGTCTAGCCACCAAAGCCCAGTTCGATTGCTCCGCTATATATCATGCTGAATTCGGGCTTGTCAAACTTGCCTTCACCTTGCCATCTGAAGTCCTGCAAGGCCATCACATCGATGTTATATTTTCCCATTTCACTTGCTATCTCCATCATTTTTCCCGCTTGCTTCATTGTTCTTACGTTCCAGGTTGCCATTGAAATGTCTTTGGCTTTACAATTTTTCTTTTTTTCCGATGATCCGTATTCGTTTGGTTGATCTCTCCGTTGATACCATGTGTACCGAGACATCGTCTTGTTTTCGTAGCAAGGGGTTTTTTTTTACGTGGTAGGATTGCTAGCCCTACGCACAACCCTCCTCTAGGGTGTGCCTTATTTTTGAGTTTTGCGAAAATCAAGTTGGTCAACCCCTAAAAAGTTTCTATGTAGCCTCTNGCCGTAACTTGCCATTTTCCTTCAGAATTGATGTGTCGCTTGCCAAAATTTTTGAATTTTGGGTTTAGGCCCTTTAGGCCCTTTGAGGCACGGGTTAAAATTTTTTTAAAATTTTTTCCTTTTAGGGGGTTCATTTAGAGACTACATAGAAACTTTTTAGGGGTTGACCAACTTGATTTTCGCAAAACTCAAAAATAAGGCACACCCTACCCTCCTCTTTTACCTGGGCTTTGGGACCAGCTAGAGGTGAACATCTCAACCCTAGGCAGAGTTATTTACACATACACTAATGCTGTAAAAATTATCGTTCTTTCATCAGATTCGTCGTCAAAGTCAACAATATAGTAGTGGACAAAACCGATCGGCGAATAAAATGATGCAATTTCCATCGGATTACATCAGGACATACTTGCCTGAAGCAATAGAATGTTTCACCCTTTTAACAACAAAAGGAATACCGAAATAATACCTCATATGTATGACCTACGTGAATTAGCAAGGACGAAAGATGGAATTCACAAACGAATGGAAGAGACGAATATTTTACACCCAAATCCAGAATAATGTGAAATTATGCAACAAATAATTGTTGAAAATTATGTAATATATATCTACGTAAAAAATTGGATATGCAAAGAAAAAAAAATGACATTATTATATCTTTACGTAACGATAAATTTGACTCTCTTTGATTTTTTTTACGTAATTCATGGGCAGCCCCTGAGTTCGAACAAAGGAATCCTTATCAAATGAACAAAAATCTAAAGCTTCAGACATGTAACTTCACTGAAAAAAAAAAATAATAATATTTTTAAACCAAGGCGACGTTGGTTTAACAATTGCAATTGGTAATTTTGAGTGAAAATTCAGTAGCAGGTGAATAAAAAGACGGTGAAAGAGCTTAAATTGGCTAATTTTAAAGTGTAGAGGAAACCATGTTAATTCTAGAGATGACTGCTGAGAATAGTAAGTGTCCGTTTATTCTTTATTCAGATGCTTCCCTCAACACATGAAAGTGCTTAGACTTGCTATTTAGAAGTTTTGATTTCACTATTTCTCACGAGTAAAATCAATCATTTGAAAATGTTAATTTAACGCATTAAAGGATAGACGTTTTGAGAAATGATTGAAAAAAAATCGATTAAATTGAAAAATAAAAAATGAGGCTTTCTACATTTTTTAAGCTGGTGCTATTTGTTTCTAAATACTACGAGTATTCATCAACTTTCAAATCAAGGGTTATTCAAGATCAGCGCTTTTTGCGGTTTTCGTCCAACGTTTCTTGAAATCATTTGAACTGAAAGTTATTATGTATTCATTTGAACTGTCATCCGAAAAATGGGTACGAGATCTCGATCGGTATGCAAAACTGACTAGCCTCTCGTACATTTTTCGACAATGCTCCGCATTCGACTGGTACGCACTCATAAGATAAATAGCTCACATGTCAAGTGAGTTTTCATCGGCAGCCAACCGCAACCGGTTTGAGCTACTCCACAGTCGGCGATTCTCTCACTCATCGAGAAGCAATCGTAATTTACCAATTACTGAATTGCCGGGCTATCTATCTGTTATCTCGCATGGCTCAACTGTCTGAGCACAATTATTTTTGCTTTCAATCGATGACCCGCCTCCAGTATTCCGCTCATCGAATTGAGTAATGCACATCCTCCTAAATTTAACATCTCTCGACGATTGCAAAATTTTCGCCGGGAAACGTAACTAGTAGCTTTTCACTAAAATTTGAGCGTGGCGTAGTGATATCTTATCAGAATCCCTCGTCGCGTGTGAATGGAGATCAGCATGTCATAATCCAATTGCTTATCCATCGTTCAACTTGTAAATCGTTTGCACGACGAGGTGACTGAGTGTTTTGAGCTCGAAGTGGTTTGAGGTTATTCGTTCAGGTTTGAACTAATTATCTGAAGAAAAATTATCGCAATTAGTAGGTACAGAACTCAGCATGTTCTCTCACCTGTTGTTATTCCACCTCGTAAAGTGTTCTCCTTTCTCGATGTAATGCATGTCCGCGAGTGTTTTCTTCTTCAAAAATCATTGAGGCACCATGGCAGCGACGACAGATCAACCATCAGCTAGTGAGTTTATTTAATGACTAAACTTAAATACCTCATTGAAATACCATCTTTTCCTCCATGCATTCAAAGATCCGAAAATGGTTTATAAATTCTGAAAGCCGAATACATATAGGCATTGGCAAAATATGTAGGTATACAATGCACATTCGTGGACCGAATCGTGTGTTTTATTCATAAACCTATCAAAAGTTGACGTATTTCTGTCAAACGAAACTATGTGCACGAAGACATGAGCCCTAAGACCCATAAGAATAAATGCATAGCAGGGCTCACGTCATAATGCACATAGCTCCGTTTGACAGAAATACGTCTAATTTACTTGTGACCCATTCTGACGGGTGGGATCACTAAGAGGGATTGGAGGATGAGATAAACATACTACAGATTAGAAGGGGTCAGTATGGCATAATTTGGCACCAGAAAACCAAAACTATTCCAAAAACTTGTAATAATTGTACCTGCGAGCTCAGGCAGTGAAATTAATAGTAATAAAAATAAAAAAAATACCGTAATTAAAACTGACCAAACAAAAATTCTTATACACTCAAAACTTAAATCAAAAAGTCGTATAAAAATAGTCACAATGTTTACTGAACCAAAGACTAAAGACACATCTGCGATATGTAAGGTAACCTTTGGCAGCGCTTCAAAATTTCAAGATGAAAAAGGGAAATTTCGAGAAAAGCGTTGATAAAGTCTGTAAGCAATGTTGCCAATCTTAGAGGAAATTCATTTTAAATGCTCACGGCATAATTGATGATTCCAATTATGTCCCGGGACTGTGAGCCACTGCTCCTGAGAATGTGAAACAGAGTTTATCATCGAAAATTAAAAATCAGCAACTTTTACCCCCAAACCAGTTTTTTCGCTGTGCTAAACAAAACAATAGAGACTGAGGAATTTATAGTCGAGGAAAAATATTTTGAACATGAAAAAAGTCGTTAAACTTTGTCTTTATGACACTAAGTCCTATGGAGGAATGAAACATCAAACCCCCTTTTCTCGGTACGAATTTAGTGTGACTAATTGTGTCTCGTAATTTCCCGGACAAAAGCACGTAACTCTATTCCAAGGTTGCAAAACTGACTCTATAAATCAATTTCTATACAAGAATGTACTTGTGCAATTTTTTTCCTGATTTTTCAGATTTTTGCATAAGATCTGAAGAAAAATCAGTCAAACGCTCAGTTCGAAATGCCCAAAATTCTCACAGTAAAAATGCAATTTGCTAGGGGAAATTTGGTAACATTGGAATGCAGTTACGTTCTTTCGCGGAGGAGACGACGATCACCAAATTCTCATTTGTTGTCATAATTCTTTTTAGAGATTGACAGGGCCGGTTCCTTAGATTTTTGGGGCTATTGACACGAAATGACCTTTTGATAAGCCCGGTTCCTTTAAATGTATAAAATGTCACCTAGGCTGTCGAAAATTACATGTAAAGCATGTAAATGTCAAATTTTAAAATATGGTAACTTTTACTATTTGTCTTAACTGCTTCTAAAAATCCGCTAGGTATACGAGTCATATTCTCCAGATAAGCCAGCTATCTCTGATTTTGCTGAACATAGCCCATGAAGCGGCGCTTGGAAGACGCGAATAAACCACATAATAAGGAGGTTGGACAGCTTAGTTAATTTGGACCACATTTTGTAAATAGGAGCTACAGTTTGTGGCTCATTCTAGAAACAACATGTGTGCCATTAGTTATCCTATGCAAATAAGTGTTCTTATGCATGGATCGGAAACTATAGTTCCTAATCGCAAGATGAGGTACCTACATTTTAGAGACGTGCCTCTCGGTAATTTTTTACTCTCCTACGCTGAGAGCATGTTATTGAAGGAGCTTTGTTCCAGGTGCTTCAAAAAGGGGGGACGCTCTCGACCTGGAAGTACTGTTTTCATTAGCTCACTCATAAATTATAGGACTTAGGGAGACAGCTGTGAAACCGGAGCGAAAGGAATCAACTACAGTCGTCGCGACAATGAAAACAAGAGGAAAACACGGCGTATTTCAAAAATCGGAATGAAAAATGGTGCGCCTCTGTTTAAATTAGTTCTCTATTGAGGGCCACAAAAATGAATTCGTAGCCGCAAGGGCCGGTGGGCCGGCCGTCCGTCTAGGGGAGGTCCGTCCGGTTCTTTTACATAGAGGTGCAACATCCATCGATTAGTCCAAGCCCCAATACCAGCCAATCAGAAGCGGCAATTCGCACTAAATGCAGTCGAGACTCGTTCTAATTATATTTAAGTACGACGGAAGGACCAACAAAATTTGGCCGAGAACTTTGCGACCCCTTTGTGACTCGATTAATGATTTGAGGGGCTTGGAGGACAATGCGCATAAGTGCAGTTTTTGAATAAATTGAGATATTAATTATTTCAGATAGAACTACTCATAAGGCGTATTAAGTCAATTTGAACTTTTCGTCCACCATAAGGATCCATTTAATTATTCGAAACTCCAAACACACATTTCTCGAAATAGCAAAAACTGCACCTATACACCTTGTCCTCCAAGCCCCTCATTTTTGCTCTTGCTGAAACAAAATTTAAGGTCTTATGGTGTTATCATAAAATATTATTTCGAATTATTAATGTGGATGTGATTGCTTGGTTTCAGGTGTCGATGGACTGGAAGATGGCAAATCAGTTGGGAACGCGCGAAACGACGGAGCGCACAATTGTGGACGATCCTCGCCCGAGTCCCTTGGCGGGCGTTCGTCTGAAGGAAGCCGGTCAGGTTCCTTACAATTTCTCTTTTATTGATTGGGTGCCAGAGGCCAGTGGGGCGCAAATGCGAATAAAGATAATGTCAAGTGCATCTTCCAGATGCTCATGGATCTTTGGGGCTGTAACCATAGTCGTTCCTTCAACAGCGCCTTCCCCTTGGAAAACTTCATATCGACATTGATTCTTCCGAACCACGTATCTCGCTTGCGGTGCCTAAAAATCTCCGCCCCTATTTTATTTTTTGAAGGAGGAATAAATGAGGGGCTTGGAGGACAAGGCGCACAAGTGCAGTTTTTGGAAAAATTGAGGTATCAATCGTTTCCAGATTCTACTTTTTAAGCACTTAAAAGTCTGTTAAAACTTTCTTTCCGCCATAAGGCTCCATGTAATTTCGAAACTTCAAACGCGTAGGTATTTCTAGAAATAGCAAAAACTGCGATTATGCGCTTTGTCCTCCGAATCCCTCAAATGGACATCATTCCTTGAAGTTTTTCCAAAATTTGATTACAACAAGAGAAAAATTCGTGGAAATTTTTAGGAATCGACGTTTGGCATTTCTATGTTTAAAAAATGAAGTATGACAGGAAGTCTGCAACGTCGCAAACCGAGATGGTGGTTTGGGAGTTTCACCGTAGACATGGTTTCCATTGTGGCCGAAGAAGTTTTATGGAAGTCATTGATGCAGCATCATAACAAGGACAATTTTTGTGAATCTTAAATAAAATTCAGCATAATTACTTTAGAAATGAATCCTTGCCAGGATTCGATTGCATACTATAAAAGAAAAAAGTATATGGTTTTGACAATCTTCAAGGTAGGCGCGAATATGCTTATCTTAAAAAAACGTATCCAATGTCAATTTCCGACGTATTTAAAATGGTGCCTGTAATGATCCTCATATCGACGATGAAACTATAACCGAAAAATTTTCGACGTCATTTCTTGAAAACTTCCCTGAAAAACATTCAGTGAAAATCTTGAAACAAACACGGCAAATTATTATGTAGTCTTGTTTTTCCCAGAGGTATGTAACAATCTTGATTGTCTTTGTTAATTTTCTTTATAATTCGGTGCAGGATTCGGTGTTGGAAGCAAATAGTGAAGGCTGACAGCAGGCTTGTCCAGATTTTTTCATCAATCATCTGCGGACTTCTTGGATGGGGAATCCTCTACACATTATTCCACAATGAAGTGGCCCCTGGAGGTCAACTCTTCAGTCTGATTTTTCTTTACCTACTGGCAAGTTATGCTGGATACCTAATAAGCTTTTTGCGTTTGCCAGCCCTGCTAGGAATGCTTCTCATGGGGATTTTGTTGCGTAACATAGGATTTTTTGATGTTTCTGGTGTTTACAAAGAAATCATTATTTCATCAAGGTATGTCACAGTTTATATTTCTAATTTTTTTTTTTTTTAGATTTTCCAAGTCTAAAGATTTTCCCATTAAAACAAAAAACAACCTATTGCTCTACAACCATATTTCCCCCTGGATATTTTGTGTATGTATTTTACTTTCATGAGATCAGCGTTACATTAAGATTTTTTTCACTTTACCTTTTCATTTAGAGAAATTGCATTGACGGTGATCCTCATCAAAGCTGGATTGGGACTGGATCCAGTTGCATTGATGAAATTGAAATTTGTCGTTCTAAGATTGGCACTAGTCCCTTGTATTGGAGAAGCTGCAGCAATTGCAGCTGCTGCTCATTTCTTGCTTGGGTTTCCTTGGTTATGGGGAATTCTTCTCGGGTAAGACAAAACTCTACTCATTTTTAATTGACTTACTAAAGTCAACGTTGAAAAACACACCCTTTTATTCATTATCTTGGAATTATGATTAAAAATACATTTTGTGGTTCGCAAAGTCTTTGCATCTAATTTGTATAAGGAATTAAATATTTAATCTCATATACCTACCTCTTCGTAAATCTTATGATCATATTTTGCATTACCGCGATTTCATTGTATCCTCTAGTTTTACGTCACTGCTATTTCTACTGAAAGTACATTTTCCATCATTGTTAGCAGTGTCTCCACTTTACCAGATAATAAATGTAAAAACATTTAATACATTGTAGTTATGTTCATCTGTAAAAGTTAAATAAAAAAAATCAATTTCAAAAATTTTTTAAGATGAGGATTAATGTCTGTGCTTTAAAATAAATCTTCAATTCAGTTTTTTGTTACGAGTATATAAAATAATTTAAAACATTACGATCAATCGTTTGATATTTTCAATGGTGTCTTTAAGCTTTCCTCTTCTATGCTTGTTCCTTTAAATTTTCTCGTTTGTATAATTTTCGGTAGTTGCACCCAAAGTGCAGTAAGTCCTGCTGTTGTCGTACCAACTTTACTTAATCTCGATTCAAAAGGATATGGCACCAACAAAGGAATTTCTACACTTATTATTGCTGCATCCAGTATAGACGACATATTCAGTATTTCAGCGTTTGGTGTTTGTTTAGGAGCTCTTTTCACACAAGGTTTGTTGTTTTTTATTATGTAATACTCCTCCCCCTAAAAAAAATCTAAAATATTTATTACGATATTACAAGGAAATAATATTATAACTCAATTTTAGGACTTTTCGGGCAGAACAAACGGTACTTTGTAAACAGGCAATCATTTACATCTTAACTTGAGTAAAAATTTTCCAAAAATTATTTTATTAGTGATATAGTTAAAAACTGGAAAAAGCGGTGGTGGAAAAATTGATCGACAACGTCAGGAATTAGGTGAGCTCAAAAACGCTACGCAGTAAGGGTGGTTAGTCGCTTGAGCTTTAGCTGTCGAGAGAGAAGAAGGGGCAAAATTAGCGAAACATGAACACCCGAAATCCGTTGGTTATTTGAAACTGAATGTGTTGGGCCAAACCCGCTCACAGCGCTGCTGTTTCCCTCATGTGAGCTTTTTGGATTTCCTAAGGCAAATATTATACCACGCTATTTTCAACATCAATTTAAATATTGACTATTGAAAAAGATAATCATGGCAATACGAGGGAGTAAACAAGCATGCAGTCTTTCTTTAGTCCACGAGGCTATCTCAATCGATCGGAAATAATTTTTCTGAAAAATACACACTTTTACAAGACCTTTAAGAACCTCCAAGTTTTGATGGAAAATGGGAAAAGGTTATTATAAAGGTGTATCTTGATAACCTGCAACGCAACGCTAGTAAACATTGCATTTTTAATTCAATAGATTTAAAAAAAAAAATCTCAAAAAAAAAATTGTTGAAACAAATCTCAAAACGGAAAGACTGAAACATGTTTACAATGCTGTTGCGATACAGGATGGCGCGGGTGCAGGGAGGACTCTAAACTCGTGAATGTAACTAGTGTAGAACCCTCCTGTACCCGAGAAACAGGACTCTCAAATTTGGATTCCTTGGACCTTGGGGTTAATTAGTCATAAAAATACCCTTTTCCCGAGCATCTGCGTCAATTAAGTGACATTGACGTTTTTTGAAGGGGGGCTCTATCCCCCTTCTTTAGGGCTCAGTATTTCCCTGGTAAAAATTGGCGATAGGAGCTGCGTTTCAAAATACCATAGGAGTTCTTATAGCCGACTAAAGAAGGCTATTGAAAATCATATAGCTGGCTGTAGAAAGCGGAGCGAATCATATAGCCGGGCTATACGAAGCTATAAAGAAGTATACAGTCGGGCTATAGTTCCTATCGCCGAGCTTTACCCTTTATCGCCACTGGCTATAAAATGCTATAAGCAATTGTGTAGAGATTCGTGTGCTTTGGAAATCATTAAGTTTCATACGGAACTACCTTAATATTTACAAAACACACATTATATTTTCCTTTAAAAAAATTTTTTTTTCATCAATTAAAATGAGATTGTGCATACAGAGTGTGCAAACATTTCAAAATCATGAGTTGAAAAACGCCGACTCAGCGAGAGCGAGATTAAATATTAGAGCCTAACACAAAGCGGAGCGGCGACGTATTGGTGCCTACAAACCTAACAGGGATACTTCACGCATTGCGCGGCGACGCACTGGCGCCTACAAACCTAACAGGGATACTTCATGCATTGCGCAATGCGTGAAGTATCCCTGTTAGGTTTGTAGGCGCCAATGCGCGTTTCGCGCTCTCTGCCCGCCCGCCGCGCCGCAACGTGCCACGGCGTCTGAAGCAACTAATTCACACCAGAGGTATTGCACAGTATCATAAGAAATTAAAGGCGCTCCAACATATGAAGAATGACAGTCATCCTTCAAAAGTACGGAGCTTTCCTCGCAAAATAAATCAAGATACTATGGCCCAAAAAGAGAGCGGTAGTCCAAAAACTAAGTAAGTCCTAGTATCCGTATTTAGTAACGTTTAGCATAAACTTCATCGTCTGCCTGTTGATTAATCGCCATCGGCTATAAAAGGCTATAAGAAATTGGACAGCCGGCTACAGAAGCTATTGGAAATCTTTAGGTCTATAGTATTTTGGAACACACATTCTACTGCCAATTTTTACCAGGGTTTAGACACGGATGGACCGATTTTGAATTATTGGTGTTAACTTGGATGAAAATTTGCCGTGCCTCCGATTCTGATGAAATCATTTCAAAAAGTTGACACGAATCCCGACTTTGGACGTGACGAGTCTTTCTTTTAAATAACTTGTCAGAGGTAAAGAGGAGGATCCTTCAAGTTACTTAGAGTTTAAAAGTATAAAATACACTTGTGCACGAACTTTACATCTACCTACTTGCATAGGCGGTTCCAGACCTTCATGCTTAGGGGTGCCCAAAGGTGGAAAATGTCGGAGACCGCTCCCGAAGAGGACGGTCGCTCAGGGGAGGCCTAAGTTTCGGCCCTCAAGTTTTATCCCTTTTCTACCCTCTTTGATGCCTCCTTTCTCTTTTTCTCTCCTTCCTTTCTACTTAAATACCTATAAATTCAATGTAGAAAATTTTTAGCAAAACTTTCCATCAAAACTACAATCTTACCATAAAAAACAGTGGAATCTTTGTAAAACACGGCTATCAATATTAATTCTGGACACCTGCAGATTTCAAAAATTAATGAAATAAAAATATTGCCAATTTTTGGCGCTTCATAAGACGATTTTTTTCTCGACGTTTTTACTTGCCCAAAAGCCTCTTTCACGGTTCCGGTAACCGTATATACTTAATTTTTGCTTGGGGGTGCCCGGCACCCACTGGCACCCCCGTAGAACCGCCTATGCCTACTTGGTGATGGCCAGGTTCCAAACCGGGGTTGTTCTGATCTAGAATGACTCCTCACTGAAATATTTATTTACATTTCTGATTTTAATTACAAGACGAGCTCACGTCTAGAGCAATATGTATTTAACTTTTCCGTGTATCTGTTTAAAACTACTCTCAACGTAATTGTTTCAGGAGACATAACTATGAGTGTTTTGAAAGGTCCCACTGAAGTGGGTCTCGGTTTGTTTGTCGGAATATTGTGGGGAGCAATGGCATATGTGGTCCCGCACCCTGATGATGTGAGTGCATTCAAATTTTTCCTAAGCTGAATCATTATTTATTGTTTTTGCTCATTTTTTAAAAATTATATTATTTTCACTATCCCATGCGTCGGAAATTAGCGGGAAATTCATCGTTCGATCTCTGGGTACATTCAATTAAAATGGTTTTCAAAAATTTGCATCTAAAATTTAGATGGGACCAATTTCCTTAGCATTATATTGGTTGTCTTACAATCTGCAATGAGCCTCTGCGCAAGAGAATAATTAATACATAGCCAACGGGATACAGGTTGGACAACAAAAAAATTAGTTCACTAACTTTGTAGGTAAAACGACTTCGTGTAGGGTTGGTTTGATACGACATTTGCTGGTTTATGTAAATTTTTGGGCTATACGAGTGTGAGTACCTACTCTGTGAAAGTTTTTGACATGTTTACAGGGAAGAGAAAAAAATGAAAATTAAATTGCGCGTGAACATTTTGTATGCAAATATGTTACTTGGTTAGTATCAAATATTATCAAAGTTATTTTCAAACGCTCTTGGCGTTAGAAAGTGTGATTATAGGTACTTATATTGATTCCATCTCCTAAAAACAGAAAATAGACATTATCACTTATCAGTAATCCGCGAACATGCGATTGCTGTTAGTCAGATTTAGGCTGCGAAAAATTGTCCACAAAAATGTATACACCCTTTGATTTCTCTCTGTATTTTCAACTTTTTTTAAAAGGTAAAATCTCTCAAGTTATTGAAATTTTTGAGGAATCAGGGTCATTCTTTCACAGTCTTCAAAATACTGAATCCTTTGTGGGGCAGCCATAAATAAAATTGTATTTTTTGTTTATCCTAGATTTGACCCTAAAAATTCCTCACCTATTGTTTTTCCAGAAATATGTCGTACTTAAAAGACTCATATTTGTTGGAGGTGGTGGACTATTCATGGTACTTGGAAGTCAAATGATTGGTTTCCCAGGAGCAGGTCCTCTATCATGTATTTCATCCGCATTTGTTGCAAATTTGTCCTGGAAGCATCGAGGGTGGGACGATGAAACGGTAATCTTTTCTCACTGAATTCTAAATATTTTACTTGATTTCATTTTATTTTATTTCATTTCTTTAGCATAAATCATAGCCATGCTCTTACTTTGGTTCTCGTCGATGTGTACTGAAACTGCATCTCTACCTTGCGTTTTAGGGGTTGCTGTCAATATCTTATATGCCGAAACGAAAGTCTGCGCTTACTGCCACAACAAGACAAAAGACGCGTTTCCTGTGACGGAATATGCCCAGAGGTAGATCCAGCAATTTGGCAACACCGGATTTTCTCCATTTAAAGATATGTTAAATAATCAATTCTTGTCGGAGCACCTGGCCCCTCTAAGAATCGATACATTTGCATATGTTTAAACTGAGAAAATGAACGTTGCCAATTTGCTGGATCCGCCTATAAATATGCCTAGCTCCATCAATGAGCGCATTTTCTCCCTGGCGCAGTAAATGGTTTCAAGGAGGCACCTCTATATTTATGGCCAAAGTGCAAAACCCCATATCTCTATTGCGGTGTTTCAAACTTTCCCTTTCTACTTAATTTTCTTGAGAAGAAACAAGCAAACGCTATACAAATCTATGCAATGTACTTTTTGAAATCTACAGAGAAATATTCCGCTGACCGAGAATAAGATAAATCAAGGAAGTTTTCAAGAAATTACGTTGACTTGTTTTCCAAAGAAAATATAAAGTATGACAGGAAGTCTGCAACGTCGCAAACGGAGGTACGTGGCTTCGTATTTTGTCACTGTAAACACTAAAACTTTGATCGACCCGTTGAACGATATTGGACGCCTTCAATTTTGCCGAGCGTTGATGACGGCGCAGACATACAACTATTCGTGCTTGATGGATGTCCGTGTTGCATCTGAAAAATTGAAGGCGCGTTGGCGTGAGTCGCGAACTCTCAACTACCCGTTTTATGCTGCTGATTAGGAGTCGCTCAGACTCTGGAGAGGAGTTTTAAAAAGAGACCCGAATATGACTCTCCTATCTTCGGCTGCGTTGAAACTCCATTTGATTCCCTGTGTCGGAATCTGCCTGGCTCCGCCAATGAGCGCGTTTCCTATCGCACGCGAAAAAACGTTCCCAGCGGACACTGCCATATTGTGAAGCCTTGTATTTTAGCAATCTATGTTGCGTAGGTCATAATCACTGCCAAAAAGGTGACACGTGGATTGAACTCTTAGTATGGATGTATATTTTTTTGTGTATGGCTCGCAACGATGAATCTTAGGAAAATTAATGATTTCAAAATTCTACCCACCATATTTAAATAATATCTAAACCTTTTTCACTATCTTTTTTCAGACTCCAGTCTCAACTATCATCTCTAAACTTTGGAAAATCGTAGAGCCTCTGCTTTTTGCATTGATTGGAACTGAAATCAACTTCCAAGTTATCAATCTATCCCTGGTTGGCACAGGTCTACTAGTACTTTTTTCTGGACTCGTTGTAAGTATTATTTTTTATTTATTATTATTATTATTATTATTTATTTTTTTTTTTTTTTTGGAAGGAAATAGCAATCAAATGAGTTAGTTCAACGAACCTTGTAAACGTCTATGTTGAACATATTTTTGTTTATTACGTACAAAATTTTCTCAAAACTATAAGTAAATACGCCTGGCTGTGTGTTTTAATGACGTTCACAGTGATGTAAGGAAGTAAAACCTCATTTTATGTCAGTATGAATCATCTACATGCAACATCCGCCATTTTTTGGTTCCTAAGAGCTTCATGAGGCTTGAGGGGGCTGAGCCAATCAGAAATGGATCCCTCCGGTAACCATACTAATATACGATCGGTGTGACGACACTCTACTCAGGAGGGGGGTGGGCCGGCTAAATGAGAAATCCTGTGGGCGTTTGTAGATCAAAACCGGGAAGCAAAGGCCGCAGGGGACGGTGTGACGGGGCCAAATTTGCGAGGGTCGCGGGGGCAATCTAAAAATTTTTAATATAGTCGTGTCGAACTATAAATGCCGAAAATAGCGCAAGGATCCTTTCGTTTTTCATATAAAAAAGGAAATTGCTGTAATATAGGAGGAAAGTTGCATTTAATATGTGGCATATTTTTTCTTTCCAGATAAGGGTCTTTTGCTGTAGTATTGCCATCTATGGTGCCAATCTAAACTCGAAAGAGACTCTATTCGTCAACATGGCTTGGTTGCCAAAAGCAACAGTTCAGGTAAGGATATGCTCAGATAATGTGTGTCCTTGACGCAGAATTACGTCAAATTTTACCACCGAAATTTCTTTTTAAGTCCTTATTTTCTAAATCATTTCTGTTTTATCACTTCTCTCAGTCTCATTTTCTTTATCCTTATTCATCCTAGACAAGTTTTCGGGTTCATGCCTTCCTAAAAATTTTGCGTTTAAAGAATCTTTTGCATCATGAACTATTTTATTTAACGCTCTCTGAAATTTTTATGAATATATTTTTTGAGCCGTTTTTAGTTGGGGGTAAAGGATCAAGGAGAAGTGTTATTATATTTAATTAATGATCTTTATTATATCCTGTGACAACACTGTCTCTGTCTCCTTGTGTGTGTACTCATTAAGGAGTAAAACTCCTTTGCGGGATGTTTGTCCTAGAGTGTCCTAAAACTCAAAAAGTAAAACTTTGAAGTGTCTCACAGTTAGTTCTTGAAAACCGTCCATCTTTTTTGAATAGTAGGCTGGTTGCCATATTTTTATCTCTAAGAGATTGTCTGTTCCACTCTTATCTTAGTTATATACATGATATCAAAATTTCAAATTTTTCCATTCTTGTTTCAGGCGGCTTTGGCACCAGTTGCAATGGATATGGTCCGCCAAGCACAATATGAAAAAGATTCACCCCTCTATGTGTACAGCTCACAAATTCTTACAATAGCAGTGATTTCAATCCTTGTTACTGCCCCCATTGGCTCTGTTGGCATTAATATTGGCGGTCCAAAATTACTCACTAAAACCGAAACTCACACTGTCTCTGAGCGAGATCCATAAGAAAAGTGTGAGCGTTTTAATCTTCCTGCATCGCTATGTGTTCGTAAATAGCATTTATTTTTCATCATAGGTAATTTAACCTGTAGACCAGCCTTAAACGATAATAAAAGTCAGAATTTTCGTGTTTTTATTATCTGTGATGTTATAAAAGGATCACGTCTAAAACAGGTCCAAAGCCAGCCGGGATCGTTGTTCTAGAGACTTGGCACATTCAATCGGTTGGTAATGCCCCAGAGCTTCCTGAATGTTGAGCCCCCAAAATTTTTGAGGAAACATGGAGGGCTGTTAAAGTTCCAAAACGGAGAAAGGTTTGCGAAGTTATCATTCAAAATACTCGAAAAAATCGCATATAACAATTACTATTCTGGTTTCCACACACGCTTTCACCGTGAAGGACCAGAACTTGCAGGCGATGTATCTTATAGTATAGGGCTTTGTCTAAACTCGAATAATAGCTCCCGATACTCTGATAGACTGACAAACGATCGACTGAATTTTTTTCTTCGCCTAGGCCTATTTCTAATAAAGCTAGATTTAGATTTTGATGAAATGAGGAATCGTAAATTGAAGGAAACAAAAAATTTTTGCGAAAAACCTCTACTCCCGTTCAGGACTTCCTCAACACCGGAATAATCGGTTCCAAAAACCCGAGTAATTTTCCAGGGTCTCGGTTGTTATAACTAAAGTTCTTTCAGAACATGAAATATTTCTGAGGAGTCTTACCTTGCTGAGAACGTGTGTGCTATAACTGCGTACTCCAGCGATTTTTCTCTCTCCGGTTAATATTTATTAACGAAAATGCTGCTAATTAGGCACTTGCTCTTCCATCCCCAAAGCTGGGGGGGGGGGAGAGGTTCGGAACTTCGAAAAAGACGGGGCATTACCTAATGTTCGCATGTACAAAGTCTCTAAAAAAAATCCGCCACGGGCGGGTTTGGACCTGTATTATGCACGTGCTCATTTTTTTTATTTTATGATCATGAAGAAGAATTAGTTCCTATTAATTTGTAAAATTTGTTTTGATTTTCTTTTGCAACCGGAGAATGTCTCCGGGTGCCAGCTCCATTATATCATAAGGAAATGTACCTAGGTCCTCTAGCTTTTTGCAGGCTCCGGTTTCGATCAAAGTTGACCAGAATGGTCTAAGGGCGTTCCTAGAGATTTTGCTGTTTAATCACTTTTTTTGGAGACGTTAAAGTTCTTCATTTGGTTTGAATTGGAAATCAACAACTTTGATATCCCACGCAGATCTTTTACGATAGTGTGATGCCCTATTACCTGCTATATACCTAAAGCAGCATTTCCTTCCTGATCAGGTCAAGTTCTGATGGGCTGGGCACATACCGAAGGATACGGAAAAATCAAAGTTAGAAAGTCATTGTACGAGTATAAATTATTTTGTACATTATACACTTGTAGTATTTCTATCATAAATACGTATTTATTCTTTGTTTCAATTCATGTCCAAAGACCCTCGAAAAAAGTATTATGACTTTCATAGTATTGATTTGTGGTTTCTGAAATTTTTTGCCCTAAAACCTTCTCATAAGTTTCAGTGCGGGAGGTACAAATTTTCCGTGTGCTGTCGCACAATTTACATTCTTTGCCTCCACTGACATGAATTGTAATGGCATTGACCTTAGTAAGAAAATAATTCCTAACATTTTACAAAAAAAAAAAAAGAAAAAAGAAAAAAGACTAATATTCTACGCACGCTTTATAACGCTGCCAATAAAAATCGTCGTTTCTATTTACAATTTTATTATTGTTAATACTTGGTCATATTCTCCTCAATTTCTAGTTTATCCTTTTTTAATTACTTTAACGTTTATTGTTACTTTTGTTAATGCCACTTTATCCTCACTATTTCAGCTGAAAAATGTCATGGACTGTACAGTCACTCGTCGTATACTTTCATAATTTATAATTTTTTGAAGTATATCGGTGGGGTAGTTTTGAGCTTCTATAATGGATGGAAAGCGGGTGGGCATACTAAGCTGCAGTTTTGAAAATACGTCGAATTAAGAAATTTTGCAACGTTGGCTGCCAGACACATATACAGATCAAGAAATTTTATCTAAGACAATTCCGAAGTAAAGGCGACCAACAAGCCAAGAGTCCACTGACAATGAGTCCAAAATGCGTCGAAATCTGACTTTAGAGAAATTTTGCAATACTATTCGTTTTTTTTTGAAACCACTGTACTTCGGAACAGAAATTTTTTTGATGAAAACATTTATGTATATCTCTGCATAAACTTTGATCGAACCGAAAACCGATGAACGATACGCATCATCAATTTAGGACACCGCATCAAGAACAGCCTATAACTGGAAACCGCGGTTTGAGAAAAACGCATTTAAAGTTTTGTTTCTGATGTACTGCGCAGACTATTCTATGCAGGTACCCTGTTTTGGTGTTTTTGGGTGACCTAACCCTTCTAATGAAGGATGCCGGGTAGATTTTGCGATACATTTTGGGTTTATACTCTCATATATTTATTTTAAAAATGCGGTTAATAGGCCATTATTACGCCCAACAGTCATTGGTGGCAATATGAAGTATAAATAATTTTAATCAAGCATGATTAACGCAAAATGAAAGAATATCCATAGTAAGAAAAAACAGGAGTAACTAGCACCTTATAGGCCCTTAAGTTTATAGGCCCGATTAGAGGTCGTTCTTGCACCCATCGATCCAGAAGCCTGACTTAACTCGGAAAAAAAAAGGTTTTTCGACCTCGAGCCGTTACCTATCTATATTCTATAGCTACCACAGCATAGTCCAGGGTACGTAGAATCCGAAAAACTTATGGGCGTAATAACGACCTATACGCCTATAGGCTGTTCTTGGTGCGGTGTCCTCAATTGTAATCTTCCGTCACATTCTTACGGCGCAATGATACAACTATTTGAACTCTCCGGAATGCGTGAGGTATCGCGACGCATTTGAAGGCGTTTTCAAAACAGCCAAGTTTCGATACCCGGATTATCGTTTTGCATAGTTCATATTCTTTTGTTACATTCCGTACCACTTGTTTATTTTTAATCCTCGTATAAAAACCACCCATTTCCAAAATACAATTCTACATATAGCTGGAGAGCACTTCAGCTATGCATTCACGACTACTAAAATGTCAAGGGAAATCGACAAGACTAGCGTTTATGAAGGCTATTTCAATTGTAATCTGCCGTCGCATTTCTAAGGCGCAATGATACAACTATTTAAACTCTCCGGAATGCGTAAGGTATCACGCCGCATTTGAAGGCGTTTTCAAAACAGCCAAGTTCCGATACCCGGATTATCGTTTTGCACAGTTCATATTATTTTTTTATATCCCGTACCACTTGTTTATTTTTAATCCTTGTATAAAAACCACCCATTTGCTGAATACAATTCTAGCTGGAGCGCACTTCAGCTATGAATTGCAAAAATGTCAAAGGAAATCGACAAGACTAGCGTGTATGAAGGCTATTTCAATTGTAATGTGCCTTCGCATTTCTAAGACGCAATGATACAACTATTTGAACTCTCCGGAATGCGTGAGGTATCACGCCGTATTTGAAGGCGTTTTCAAAACAGCCAAGTTTCGCTATCAGGTTTGTAGTTTCGCAAGAAATTGGAGCACAAAATCAATAGAATGACTGATTTTACGAGCTAATGCAACTCAATTAATTTGTGTTTTATTTGACGGAAGCGTTAGAAAACAGTTCAGTCAGAAATTTAAATTTGAGAAATGCGGGAATTTCTTACATCATGCATCCTTCTTGAAGTTCCATGCTAAATTCTTTAATTTCTAAAGTCATTCATCACGCATTAACAACATCGCAATCTTAGAAGTATCTTTTTACGTGACTAAATTATATATTTTTAAAGTTTGAGTTCGTAGTTTGTACTTGGTTTTTTTTTTTTTTTTTTTTTTTTTTTTTTTTTTTTTTTTTTTTGCCTCGGATCAACTTCTTTGAATGAATTAGTTGGCTCAATTATTGTGAATAAATAAGAGCATTCAAGTGAATATATATCTGAATATCTCTAGCAAGAGATATCCAGTCCTGAAGGAAAATGAACGGTGATATGCATTCTCCTGATTAATCGAAAAATGAAGTCATACACAGCGTTTTCTCTTCATGTCTTTTTCCCTTAAAAAAAAAAAAAAAAAAAAAAAAAAAAAAAAAAAAAAAATCTAAACTGTGATTAATTAAAAAAAGAAATCTCATGATTCCACGAGAAAAATTGCACTGTCTTCTGTAGGGTTATTCTTTCTTCTGAAAAATGCTTTCCAGGTTGATCGCGTTGCAATAGGCTGATATAATAAACTGCAGGAGGGAAAAATCACAAGGTTCTATTTATAACATGTATTTTATTCAAGCATTTTTACAGCCAAGGTATAAAAAGAACAATTACGGAATGATTTAGTCCATACATAATTTTTAAAATTTCATAAGTATACTGATGTAAAAATTCACAAAAATTACCATGTTTGCCAGGAAAAAAAGGTGAATACCTATTTTCATCTACCATCAAGATTTGCCCCATGTTAGAAATAACTGTCCCGAAAATAAAATCAATACTGAGCAATGAAGAGCTAACAAAAATATGGGGTGCACATAGCATGCTATCCATACAACAGGGAAGGCTGTTAGATTGGAAATAAAAATTTCCATTTTATTTTTGCTCTTCCATCACTTCAGTGCAGTTTAAGACCAGTTGATTTTGGTGGTACAATTTTAAGTACACTATCTTACAATTGTTTAAGATTGATTTTATGTATAAATACTTTCCAATATAAATTACTCCAAAAAATACCACATTAAGATTGAAACCAAGGTTTGAACAAAATTATTTCCTTAGTTGAATGGTCCATTCTTCAGTTTAGAAACCCTCATTGAATTAATACAAAGCCAAGTAGTGCAATACAGTCAGAGTTTACAAGAAAAGAGATATGATCTAATCAGTGGGGAGGACAGTCTTCAAAACCCTTGGCAAATTTTTGGAGATATAAAAAGAGAAAAAACACCTCTTTTGACGATTTCAAATGAGGCATCCTTATCCTTAAAACATGAATATTTACTGACTAAAAAACCATTTTGATTTGTAACAAATTATGGATCGATTCCAATATTTTTTCATCATGTTTTTCCCTTCGCAATTTTGTTAATCTTACAACAATAATGCACGAGTGATATTGCACATAGCAGACAGAGTCGCTAAAACTATTCATAAGTTATTCTTTATAAGACATTGTGAAGAAATAGAATGCTGGGATTCATACTTATAGTACTTACAGATACTTTATTCAGCCATTTTGACTTTCATTGAATCAGCTGAAAAATTCTTCATGGGACAAATTAGTTACAAAATGTCTTTACAAGTTCTCAGCAACAAGGTTATCTCAAATTTAAGTTAGAGTAATCAAAAATTCATGAATGGACTTCATGAGTATCATGAATGAGGAAACTTGGCATTTTTAAGATTACAAGGAATTTAATTTAAAATTGAAATAGTAAATGAAAGCTAATGATATACATGAACTATTAACTCAGATGATGAGTTTTAATATCAGTTCTACATAAAGTATACCTAAAGATGAGTTTTATTGGAAAGAATAATACCTCAATTTTCTTAAAAATGCCACTTAATTCCTTTTCTTGTGAGATCCTTGCCTCATGGTGCAGCAAAACCTTTAGGAGCCAGGATTTTTGCATCTTTTATACAACAATGCCCACCAAAGTCTGATCAGTTGACAATGATTTGGTTGAGAGCAAGCAGTCGAAGAAATTTTAAAATTTAAAATAACGATGGGATAATACTATAACTTCAAAAGTGAACAGTCAAAAAATAAGGTTGAGCGTTCAAACAAAGGAACTTATCAGACTTACGTATAATGAGTCAATTAAGTCATTTTCTTTTATTACTTCATTCAAAAGTTTTAAGTGAACTGAATTTTCAGTTGAGTTCCCATTTTTTTGGTGGTAGCAACCAAGAGTAAAAAAAATGCATTCTGAAGAGCAGATAGGAATTTGGGTCGACGTAAAGAGTTTGAGTTGCTTGTTTGTTGACTGCAAACATGCTGTCTTGGTGCATTAACCATTAGGGCGGCAAGTATTCTGTAATGGTAGAAGATTTGCTAGCAAGGCAGTATGTTGTTAATCATCATTCTTTACATGCTCATCATTCCTCTTAAACCAAAAATTTGGGGATAGAACTTTTGGCAGACCAAATCCATCAAGGCATAACTGACTCATTATTGCAATGAAAATTAGAACATTCTGTTACCTCTGACAAAAACCTGTGGAGCTATTTAGCTCCACAGAAAATTTTGAAACATCATACTAGATGATAAATAGATTTTACTAGATTTACTAGATGATAAATATACAGAGGGCATACATAAAAAGCTAGTGCTAATATCTACCTAAGAAAATATAATTTTTTTTGTTTTGTTTAGTTTTTTTTTAATAAAATAATAGGACACTGATGACATTTCCAGCAAATACTATGACATGATTGTTTTTTTATTATATTTTTTTTTACAGGGAAAATTTAATTAAAAGAGAATATACAGTGAAGAAAATATAATTCTCCTCGCAACAACATGTTTGGGCAATAAAATTTCTAATTGGTTTCAGTGAAACAACAACAGAGCTTTAAACATAATATGTGAACCCAAAAATTGACAACAAAAATCTATCACACGCAATTAAACTTAAAAAAACATAACTGAAAAAAAAAAACAACAATTGTCACTTGATTTGTGAAAAAATATATTAACATTTTTTCATGTAATATAATGCTCTCATGATAAATTCTTAACTGACTGATATGATGGTGCATTAATAAAAATTAGAAAACGAAGTGAATAATACGCACAAATTTAATTTCTAATACAGCCCAAAGAAAATAGGGAAAAAAGGAGAAATTACAGGTCAAATCCTGATTCAACTCCCCTGGCTCAATAATTTCGATCAATTTTGCCTTGCCCATGACCAATATAAGAGGCGCTGACAGTCTTAACTTAGCCCCTTATAACTCTTGAGACTATACATCACATTATTTTTTCCCCTATGTATTGTGTCACCATATTCGGGGCTTTTAGAGACTCAATTCGACAAATATTTTAAAAGCCAAAAGAGGGACGAAATAATAGGACCCTCTTCAATTTTGATTGTGATATCTAGGTATTTACGAGATGCTTTTTGCTTTAGTATAATGTAAAATAAAGTAATGAATAAAAAACAAAAAATCATACTGTAAAATACTGAATACCAGCAACATAAAAATACTTCATGTAACTTCACGTCTACATCATAGATTGTCCAATCAATTTCAGAAACTTTAAAAGAAAGAGAGAAAAAAAGAGGAAGAGAAAAGAGCTTCATAACATATCAACATATCATACAAAGTAAAATCATTGATGGATATATAAAAAAAAAAAGAAGAAAGGAGCTGAACCAACAGCAAGAGAGATTCATAGCTACTGAAAATTATTCGATAAAGGAATACATTCACTCTGGTAACAATGATTTTACACATGAAAATAGTTGTCATAGTTAAATTTCCACATGAATCCTTCGGAGAATCAGGGGAACAAATGGAGTTTTGAATTCCTTTTTGCAACTAGTTGAGGAAAATTGGCTAAATAAATTTGGACTGTGTATGTAGCGCAACAAAAGTACATGATGGAAACACTCAAAACTTACTTGAAAATTCTGAGCCTCGAGAAAAAATATGGACAAGCTTCAAAATTGGATAGAGTGTCATTGCCAGCTATCCGAGGGGAAGTTATTAACTTCTGTTTGATCTAAAATCGAGGTGCCACCTTGGTTATATGATAGCCTAATTCTCATTCTAAGAGGAGCCTGAAAAAGAACAAAAACAAATTAGAATAAAAAATGGCTCAATTTCACTGAAAATGACATTAAAAATGATTATTCAGGGTGTCTAGTTTTTTTTTTTTTTTTTCATTTCGGGAAATCCTGATTTTTCTTGATTTTTGACTGCTAAATTCTGGTTTCATAATTTTTCTAAATCCTGATCAAATCCTGATTTTTTTGTGGAAAAAAATTAAAATTTCTGCAGAGAGCATAAAAGAATCCGGTAGGACAGCCGACTTTTCTCAAATCCTGATTTTACAACCGATTTTTCTTCAAATCCTGATGAAATCGGGATTAAATCCTGATTGACCTCAAATCCTGATGCTAGACACCCTGTTATTATACAGCAAGTACATAATCGCCTAGATTCCTTTGCACGAAGTTTATTCAGCATTAACACAGCCAGGCGCAAGTGCATTTTCACTATAAAAAGAGGCTGTAAATGACTTCCTTTTGTAGGACGATAGCCCTTGAATTTTTCTGTAAGCTTCTCAGGAAATTCTTTTAGTACATAAAACTCAATTTTTCACGATTTACAGACACATATTGTACGGACTTTTTTAATCTGAAGGATACATTGGGACTAAGTATAATACTTTTTGATTTCTTGGGTAGAAATATTTAGTAATGTGAATGTGATAAACTGTAATAAGTTGTGATGGCATTAAATGACTAATGACCAATTTTTAATGATGAGCAGACAGAAAAAATTAACGAGTTATTAGAACTGAGAAAACATTTTTATTGGGTAACTTACGGAATTGTTCGTTAGCACAACTTTCATGACCTGCGTCACTGAGCCACCAACTGGTATAACTGTGCTTGATGGGGGTAACATTTGCAGCTGGAATGCCTGAAAAAAAAATTATGGAATATTATTTCTTTCCACAAACATGCAAAACTTTAATGTGGATTGTAAGCATAATGGTCACGCAACTGAGACTCTAATACTTTCAGCAGGCATTTATAGAATGATGCGATTTCTTGCCCTAACAAGGTTCGTGCAGTCAAATCAAAATATAACTCAAGGACTTTTAGCAAGTTTTGCTAGGATTGCCAACCAAAAATTCAAGGACTTTTCCCAGTTTTGAAAAATTTTTTTGATGACACTTGAGGTCATTTGTCAAGGAAAAATTTTGAAACTACCTTTCCTGTATATTTTCATCTTGCCTCACCGCTTCAGCAAAGGCATAGCTACTGTAATAAGAAGCTCCAAAAGTTTAATTACACAGCTGATAAATTTAATTAAAGCAAAAAGAAAAAAAAACAAAAACGATTACATGGAGAGGCAGTCAGATTTTTTCAACCTTTTCGTTTTACAGCTCTTATGTCGTTAAAAAGTGTAATTTCTGGGGACTTCAATCTCAACTTCCTTTTCATCCCCCCCTTCCCTTTTTAAGTTACTTGGAGATCCTAATCATGCATTCAAGTTAAAAATGGGGGAAGGCAATTCAATTATAGGAAAGATTTAGAGCTTTCCATACCCCTCCTTTTTTTAAGAAATTTTCTTAAAAACATTAATAACATGACATGCTGGGATCACAATTTATTTGGTAGTACTAGAGTACCTGTCTTTGATACATGGCCTACTTATTATTGGTTGTATCAATGTTCAGCGCTGGAAATAAATCTCAGGGTTTTCAATTTTAGTCTGCAAAATGAAAAAAAAGAAATTATCTACCTTTGGTACGGCTGCCTGAAACAAAAATTCCGAGAGAGGCACAGGGGTGTTATTGTTTGCTGTCATTGTAATGGTTGTTGTATTGGCTGATTCTCTGGATTTACTGACTGTGAAGTCTATTTGAAGACCATTTTTATCATATGCTTTGACAGTTGTTGTTTCTGAAACGAAAAATTGACAAAATTACAATTTTTGAATAGACCTCGAAACAAAATTTTGCAAATTTTTTAATAGACCTCAAAATAAAATTTCACAAATTTTGGAACAGACTTCTTTTAGAAGGAAGTGGATCAATTCGATCCTATTCCACCTCTTTTCACCTCACTTTTAAAGAAAGTTAGAAGCCCCTCCATTAAGAATTTTGCTAGCTTGGAAAATAGCAAAGGTAAAAACTTATCTTCCAGAGAAGATATTGCAGATTACATTTATTGGATGAAATAATTTTACTCTCCGTTTTATAGAAGATTAAAACATGGCACAGTGAAGAATTTACAAAATGAAATGACATGCCAAGAGGTGTTTCCACTTGAACTCTAGACAACCGAGAATTCAATGAAGTTTTAAAAAAAGAGACAGAAAACAAAAGCAATTTCTTTCACTTGATTATCAGATTTAGCATTGACTACATGATTCATTTAATCCTTTCAAGACATATGAACATACTTAGGTTATGTAAATTTAAAGCGATTGATAAGAGGGGCTGATCATTTTAGCATTGATTTTATAAAAATTACAGAAGTATTTACCTGGTGTAATAATATTATCCGTGCTAGAACTAAGTAACATGTTGTTGTTAAGTATATTGTTGTTCGAGATAAAATCATCAACTACAGTTGTTGGAGCTGAGGATTGAATGATAGGTGTACCCACATCTAATCCACCTGAAATTTGAGAAGATGCATAATGACGTGTAAAAATTCAAGATTTAAGTGCCTCATTTACGAGTACATGACATCATGGAAGGTTTGCCGGTCCTTTTTAATTCAAGAGTTTTACATCTCCTCCTCACAAAAAGGGCAAGAAAACCTTGCACGCAGGGATGAGAAAATTCAGAGTGGTTTCAGCAACATCATAACTGACCACTATTTAAATAGATTCTCATCAAGGTGTTATGACAAGTAAACAAATGAACGATCTTGTTAGATAATTATTTTAGTTTTACTGAATGTATTTCAGCTTATCAGCCATCACCAGAAATTCTCACATACAGGGTGACAGTAAAGTATGAATATTTGTTAATATCTTGGAAATAATGCCATATATTGATATGTACTTCGGACAGAGTAAAATTGAAAATCTTTTTTGAGGGCAGTGATGTCCCTTCTTCTTAGAAGACAAGGGGGCAACTTGAAACATTCAAATGGGAATTTACATGCCCCATTGTGTGATACCCATTGAAAAGAGTATGAAAAATATTGGTGAAAACAGCAGATTCCTATTTTTGATCATTTTAAAATGGCTGCCAGTTGTAGTTGACGGAATGACGAAAAATTGGTACCTCCGTTTTTTTTACCTACAACCAAGGATTTAAGTTGACTTTAGGATGTTTTTCAGCATGAAAGGCACTAATGACTGGGATTTAGCAAACTAGTTGTAACTACATTCTAGGATTTGGTATCATCTGTTGATGAAAGGAAACCTTGTTTTGACCGAGTCTGGACCGAACTTCATTTCTCCGTGACTGGCAGCATCCTCCTCGTCGCATTGACATTCACAATGTCATCTTAGCTAACCACACCTAAAGTTCTGTCTAATGGTTGATAAGTATAATACCTCTATTCATGGTTTTCATACAACGGATGCAAAAAGAGAGAACCTAAGTGAGCAATGAATATTTTTTCATCTATGTTCCCAAATGATATTTGCCCTAGGCGGTATAATTACTTTTAACTTGGGATGAGGAATATGAAATACATACCAAGTAGGTCTAATAAATCTTGATTGTCAACAGAAGATGGTTTGTTGTTTGGGAGAGATGGAGATATTATCTCATTATCTGTGTTGCCTTCTAATAGCAGGAGGAAAGCATTCTGAAACATTCATTTAACATGCTTGCTAAAAACGTTGATAAAAGAGCACATAGTTTAAGAAAAAGTCGAGAAGTGATATTGAGATAATACATTGTCAAATATTAAACATAGAAATACCATACAACTTTGTTCTGATAAAAACGAACCTTAAAAAATTTGGAAGCCATAAAACTGCAGAGAGAATATACAGGGACTACAAAATTGGACTTGAGCTTGAAATGGAGTCTCATGTTTAAACTAACTATCTACAGTGGTTTCTTTCATTGCTAACTCTTGATAACGACATACTTGAACGAAATTAGGAAATTCTGGAACTACGTGCCTGAATAAAATGGAAATCAACGCGGATCAAATGAACCACTGCATACAAAGTAATGTGTCTGGCAAATAAACAGGATTTCACCTGAAAAAATAGCCGTTATCTATTGATACATGAAAATTTAAAATGTTCAAGAGAACTTTGGCTCAATAAAAAGATTTAATTGCAAAGCACATTGGAATTAATTTTGTGATGACCAACTTGACTCCAGTAAACTTCAGTTTCTTGACCAGTGCGAAGTCTGAATTGATGATTGCAAAGATAGTTTGATTCTCTCTAACAAGTTATAATTACAAAATGTTGATGTGTCTACCAAATTTCACAAAAAAATTTTGACCATTCATTTAATGTGGTGCTCAATTTCTTAATTCTTACTCTTTCTACTTGTCCATTACAACTATCATAAATACATAAAAAGAAGCATGGAAAATAACTTACCGAATCCTGAATTTCTGAATCTTGGCCTATTTCGTTTGTGGGCGACGGAGTTTGATCATCAACCTCTACATTTGTGATACCGTCCTCATTGTTGGCAGTCCTGGTTACTTCCATCGGAGGCATTTTCTCTAACAAGGCTGACCTCAAATGGGAATATTTACCAAACAATTGACTATATTCAACGCCTCTTTGTTGCAATTCCATATGCAAGCTTGTATTGAAAGACTCAATGACATCCCTGATTTTCCTATTAAAAAAAAATAAAAAAATGCATCAAATACAGCACCTATTAAAAAAATTTCTCTGAAAGACAAAATAATTTACTCATTAATGAACAATGTGCAAATCTATCTCTAGAAAAATCATTTAGAGATGATTGCCAGGGATGGGAAGATACGCAACCATCCAGTTCTACTTCAGAGCAGGATTAGTACCTGCTCCCTACTATGCTTTTACCGAGGAACTGCAAGGAGAACTACCGCTGCTTGCACGTTTTGACCTTGATTCTTGCCTTCCTTTCTTGTCAGCAAACTCAGCGTATGCTTCTCTTTCCATAAAAGAAAATCCAGCAGAAGAAGTGTACCCTGCAGTACCCTTTCATATTTAACTATAAAAGTTTTTATTTTCAACAAGTCATTGACATAGATCACTCAGTTTTTACAAAAAATGAGCTCTTGTCAATACATGACTTGCAGATTCAAGAGCAAGCGATACTGTTCAAATAAAGTTTGGACCTCCCCACATCGATAATCATCATTCCTTCACAGAGACGATTTTCAGAGAGACTGTAACATGTTCATTATTTTTCCTTATCCCAATTTCATAAAAATTTACCATTAGCAAGCCTGTGCTTGATGGACTCACCATCAATAATGTAAGACTGTAAAACCGACTCGCAGTTGTGAAAAGTGCAACGAAAAGTACTAAGCGCAAAATGAAACAAAGTCATGGCAGCAGTGAAAGGAAAAAAAATTAAAAATGAACAAAATTTGTCTACTTACTCTACATGTGAATGGAATCTAGTGCTGAGTTTCATCAATGAAGTTAAAGCATACTGTTTCGTTATCATAGAATTTTGTAAAGAAGTTAGTAATCTTTGATAAACAGCTATCACATCTGGTTCTGAAATCTAAGACCAAGAGACAATATGTTAAAAGTTAAGTTCTTAATAACTTGGGAAGACTTGAGAACAGTTCTAGAGTAGACAAAAAAGCTTCCCACTTTTACTTGAGAGACTTGTCCTGATTGCAAGACAACATCTATAGCAGTTCTCTGGAGAATTAAATGAGTGCAAAAAATGCCATATCTCATACATTCCTGCATCTGTTCAGATAGGGACTGAAGAAAACGATTTTTAGGGTCAGAAGTTTAGCATATTCGCATCTCAATCTACACCGGGATCTCTGATAGTAATGCATTGCTGTAGACAATCTGAACAATTCAATTCCTAAACAATTTCGACTTATTCCAGAAAAAGACATCAGTCGACAAATTCTGATGGATTAAGTCTTGTTCTTTGTTTCCACCCCTGATGATCTGATGATTTCGAAATTGGGAAAAGGCTACACAAATTTCTTGCTTTCCAAGTGAAGGTAAGAAGGAGTTTTCTACATTTTCAGAGCTTTTCAGCAGTTCCCTTCGGTCAATGGAAAATATCTAAAATTTGAGGAGATATGCTATAAATGCTGAAGGACCATGAAATTCTGATATTTTTGACATCCTTCTACAACTTGCGCTACTTTCATGTTCCATCTCTTCTTTCTTTTACTGATTTTCACGTCAAAATGAGGAAGTATTCCCGTACTTTTAAGACTTTACCCTTAATTCTTTTAGAACCTCTCCCTACTTTTGGGATCTTTCAACATTCATGCTTCCATTTCATCCTTTCACACCTTCCCAATTTTTCATTACCTTCCTTGAGTTCCTTCAAAACGAGAGACCTCATCATCAGAGAACGAGCTTATACTGCCTGCAAATCCTCTTCTGATAATTTTTCTCCAAAGTGAAAGGGTCACTTTCAGGGAGCCAGTCACACATTGATTACAGAGAACTGACAGAATTTAATTGGGAGCAAATTTTGACTTTTAGTGATATTTGCTGTAAATAGCAACAATTTTTATGCATAATTTGTCACCTATCTATGAGCTCTAATATTCATGCACTATGCAGCTAAGATTCTCAGCAGATTCTTTGAATACAAATGGAAAAAGATTACAAAACTTACTTGCATAACATTATCTGAGGAGCTCAAGAGTGATTCACCGTACTCTCCAATAGCCCAAGTTGCAACTTGAGCAAGTGGTTGTCTGTCTCCAGTGTCTTTCTCAAGCGCTAACCACAATTCTCGAGCCATGTATCCTTGCTGGTCAGTTGATTCGGACAGCAATTGAATGGTACAGGAAATCACATCATCCCGAACGTAATTACCCGCCTGGATAGAACAAGGAGATTATTACATATTAAAGGAAATGGCTCTATTTGAAAATCAGCTCTTCACTTTTTACTTCCTGGTTACACTGCCAACCTGAAGACTTAGTCCTGAACCACGAAATTTGCGCATTTTACAAAGCAGGGCAGTTTTGAAGATAAAATGTATCAAAATGTTGCATTGTTACTTTGGATGATGGCAGGAAGATACAACCTCGATAACTAGAGGGGCTTAATAGGGAGAGGCATCAATAATTATCGGTTTTATCGTCAGCTTTACTCACAGTAGTGCTTAATTATGCCCCTGATACATTCTTACTGGCCCAGATTGCCCATTCTGGATCTGACTGGAGGAAAAAAAGGTGCAAAAAAGGAGGAAAATACATGCTCTGAAGTTCTACATGATATTGATACTGAATAAAAATATCATAACACTATGACATTAATATAAATATTTAAGGCAAAATATTTCAGCTACCTACCGCAACAAGAACTTTGAGAAGAGTGTCAAGATGCCATCTATTGTTTGGAGAGTAACGTTCGGCAGCTAAAACGATACACGAGGAACAATATGCTTTGAACTCAGGATCTGCTTTCTCGAGAAATATTAACAATTCTTTCATCATCGTACGAATATTGTTAGAGTTGACAAGAGCAAAACTCAGTTCTAGTGCTCGTCTTCTTATTGACACATCTGGATCCTGGAATTTAAAACCATTCTTGTTAAAAGACAGTGATGGCATAAAATATACACGCTATGAACCTTAAAAAATGTAAGAGATCTTTACAATGCAACAATCAAACATGAAGTGGCTAGAGCAGCAGTGATGGATTTCTGGAGGAGGTCAGCAAGAATTTCTGGCGGAGATGAGGTCCACAATGAAAGAGTGCCCTAGATCATAGCAGTTGAAAATGATGTTATCATATTTAGCATCATCATAACAAAACAGCTAGTATGGTATGGTCATGTGAGCAGGATCGCAAAATGAAGCCTCCAAATAAGAATACTGATTAACATTGATAGAGATTGATTGAGTTCCTTTCAGAAAAAGATAAATGAAATGCCCAATGAAAGGATGGCCACACAGGACTTGACAAAAAATGAGGGAGTGAAGGCTCTCAAAAGGGCTTCGGAGGGCTAGGGACTCACAACAGTTACAGGGTTTCCATTATCTGATTCCCTAACTTTCTCTGACTATTTCCTTGCTCCAAAATGTTCGGATTTTTTGACTTTTCCTAACCTTTGAAAACAACTTCCTTTTAGATTTGTTTCCTTTTGATTAAGCTGACTACAGGTAAACGTTGGTTGCAAAATTCCCTGATTTTTCCGGATGTATTCCCTGACATTCAAGGTTTTTTAGACTGCCAAAAACCCTGTAGATAGGCTTTGCAAAGCACCAGAGAGTGCTGTAAAGGCGACTCTGCTTGAGTGAACAAGATGAATAAGCATTGGTAAAATGCAAAAAAACTTACTTTTAAACATTCTAAAATGGTTGTGCGATGACGCTGGACAGCACTGGTGTCAATGTAAACAGTCTTCAATAAAGTATTAAGAGCTATGTACCGGATGTTCTTATCATTATTTAATAAAAATCGACCTAAGATGTTGACAGCTAAAACCTGAAACGAGAGAATGAACATGAGTAATAAATGAAAAGATTAGAAATTTTGAGTAAAAAATAATTAAAGCTACATATTTTGACTTTTCCAACTCTTCAAACTGCAATGTCATGGAAAAAACGTTGAAGAAGAACAAAAAAAATAGAATGCAAAATTAACCCATTCGCCTCATTTGACGGGTATACTCATCAGTGGACACCTGGGACATATCTCAGTTGACCAGTCAATTCGCGTCATCTGTCGGTGTTGCTATGCTTGAGATGCCATCTATCGGAAAAGCGAAAAAACACGACCAAAAAAATCGCGTAGGAACGCCAACAGATGCTGCGAATCAACTCGTCAACTGGGGCTTACCTGTACATTGCTATGGTAAAAAATTAGTGTAAAAACCATCTACTTCCTTGTCTAAAGAGTCCCTGATAGAGGTCATCCTTAAAAGGCTGGACCTCCTTGTAAGAATTCCTTTCTACTTTCTTGATGAAATGATACTCTCAGCCCTTGGGCACCTTTTTCGCACCCTGATTAAGATCCACTCTCAGATAACAGACAAGAAGATAAGCTACTGACAATTTTATGGGGAAAAGAATCTGCTCTAGATCAAGATAAAAAACGTGATACCTCGTGTGCAGTATGGTGAGACGGAGGGGGAGCGCAATTTTTAAATTCTTCCAAAAATGGGGTCATATATTTTAAAATTGTATACATTGATGTATTTCTTATGCAATTTTATTGAGCAGTTGGGTGAGCCATATGGCTTCCTTTCAACTAAAAGAGCAATACAGAGTACGATACAGAACTATGCACCAGGGCAGAGAGGTTTATGTAACAGAATGATTGGCACTGAGAATGAAAGAGATTTTCTGACTCATTTTTATGAAGTAGGTTGTAAAAAAAACAATGAGACCGCAGAAAGCCCAGCATGTAAGATTGCAGTAGATGGTGGACGAAAAGAAAAAATTAGAACTGGCAGTGCAAAAAAGGCGCCACTTTCATACTACACACGTTAGCACTATAAGTTATTCTCCTAATGTTCCATCCTACAATGAATTGAATGTTGCAACTAATGTCGAAGAAAACAAAGTTTTTCTGAAGAGAATTGAAAAAGTAACCTTAAATTATTTAATTTTAAGATTAGTCGATCACTGGATGGATCAAAGGAAGATAAAATGAACAGCAGAATGAAATCTCTTCAATACTTACTCTAAGACCAGATTCAGATTTTATATCCATAATGGAAAGGACGGTTTCATATAAGATTGTGTTCCCAACATTTTTGGTGGTTTCTGTATTTGTGGCCACTTGTGCTAATATGTCATTCATTGCCTCAGATGCCTCTGCATCATTTTTACCTAAAATACGAAGCAACCGCAGAATCTTCACCTGGAACATGAAAGTTTGCCTTATAAAGTTTGAAGAACAAATAAATTAAGTTAAGAAATATGTGCCTTTAATAGTTATTTTATTACTTATAATTGTGATCTGGATACTACAATTACAGCAGAAACAAATCACGCACCTTTTGATTTTTCAAAAAGAGAATCAGAGTTCATTTCAGGATTTAATATTGGATACAGAAGAGAAAACTTTGAAATATTATTTTAGTAATTTAAATTTCACTCGGTCTCAGTTCCAGCAAATTTGAAGACCTTGAGTATGGACGTTTAGTTCCACCAACTTACAACTTAACAGGGCTCTGCCCAGTTTGCTGAGCTGTAAAAAGCAGAAACAAAATACAAAAACTGATGTGATAGATGAGCTCATTTTAGCTCAGTTTTTATAACAGTTTTTGTCAATTGTTTTTGCTCTTTTACTTCTCTTTCAGAGAAATTTGTATCTTATATTTTTCTTGGCAGCTCATTTTTACATGTAAATTGTGAATGTTTTGATTGGATATTCCAACGAGACAATAAGTGTGTAACCTTTACATTTTTCCAAACTAATGACAAGTTTAATTTCTCCAGATTGATCATACCCTCAACAAATAGCGCAAAAGTAAATTAATTGACTTACTTGTAAAAATGGATCACTGACACCAGATACATCATGTTCTGGAGAGTAACCAGCTAAAATTAGATTTTTTAAGATCCTCACAAGATTTGGTACAATCTGAAACAATTACACATAAAGTTACATGATAAAAGCAGTTACTCATGACGTTTAGACTTCTTAACTGTGCTCATTCTCTAATACATCCTATGTTTTTAAGAGGTCATTCTCTAATGAGAAACTTAGGTTTCTTTTCTACTTGCTTTAGATTTTTTTGAAAAAAAAAACTATGTCTTTCTTTAGAGTTCAAGATAAAAACATCCATTTTTGTTAGGTAAATTTCATTTCTTAAGACAAATTTTTTTCGATGGATTAATCATTTCCAAGATAATTGCAATTGCAAAAGCTGTATCTGGAGGTACACAAAATGTGAAAAGGATGCGCCAAAGAGCTGAGAAAGTTAACGGGAAATTACCTTTGTTTTTTCTCCATATGGTTTCATAGTATAAAATCGAATGGGTTCAGTTGTCCATTTAGGACAATAGTGGCATGCCAAAAAGCACTTGATTAATTGATGAGTTTTGAAATATAAGACATTCCTTCAGAATTTTTGTGCATCACATCACGCTGTAGTGCATCAGGTTTTTGCTTACAAAATTTGAGTAGAAAGCACTTTGAAATAACTCTCAAAGTATGGTACGAATGAATTATGCAAATTGTACTGCCTTTTGATTTGCAATATTCACTAGGACCGTACTTTTAAATTGGGTTCAAAATGTTTCTGAGTCTAACTTGGTGCACTTATATGTGAAGTAATACAGAGTGATGTGATGCTTGGACATTTTTAAGAAATGTCCTAAAATTCAGAAACTATCAATAAATCGATTGATTATCAAATCTCTCTCCAATAAAATGCCACCTTAATGAACACAGGGAGAAAGAAGAAAACATCATACAGCATATTCCTTACTTAGGGAGGTTCAGTTACTTACCTTCTTGAAATGTTGTAATGTATCAATACTATTTTCACACATTTCAGTTATCAATGTTACACCAGTGACTAGAACCCCTGGAAAAATACAAAATAAAAGTTACTGCACAGCTTGTCTGAATAAAGGAGGAACAAAAATATGAGCAAGAATTGTTTGACTCTATAATGAAACTTAATTTACTCTTTAATCGATTTCTTTCTTAAATTAACCGACTAAAAAAAATCTAGTTTGGCACAGGGGAAGCAAATCCTTAAGAGACAGAGAAAGTGGGTCAACCTCATTACTTTACTGTAGGCTCAACATTTTTGACTTGAGGACTACAAACACCTCCTATAACTAGCAAAAATAATACACCAAATTTTATAAATCATAACTTTCCATACCTAACTTAGTGAATGATGATGTGTAATTGGTTAAATCTTCTGAAGAAAGTTTATCCAAAAGTTATAGCGGTCTGAATGTTTGACCTTGGCCTCAAGGCCATCCCTCTCTAAAGGAGGGCCTTTCTGACTCCTGAAGGTATGGATCAAAAATTTCAGACAGCCAATTCTTGTGGAAAGTGGGTTACCTTTTTATCTAGGTATTTAAAGGAAAAAAATGTATGTCCAGAATGATAAAGGAACCTAGAACCTGTCCTTAACAGATATTTTGGCAGAGATAAATTGTACTGCAAGAAATTACCATGATTTTTTTCCGTTAGTAAAGACCTTGTTGCAGGTAAAAATATTTCCATTAATTCTGGAACTTTTAAAATTATCCTAAATGCACATAGTGCTGCTTTTTTACGAATGTAAGCATTAGGCGATTTCATCAATCTCTCTACTTCTGATGCTAGATCCCTCGACATTTCAGGTGAAGCAATCGCACCAAGTGTACAGAGAGCCAAACCGACAACAAATTGAGTAGAACTGTTCAAATCACTGAAACAAAAAAGAAAAAACACTTTCATGTCAAGAAATCATTCTTATCAATGATAATGGCTTTGAATTCTAGGGACAAGACTTATGTTACATGGAAGGGAGAGGAGGGCATGACCTTGAAAGATAGGGTTCCTCACCAAATCATGCACTAATTCCATCAAGATTAAGTGATCAGAAAAAATTTAAAAAAATAACATTAGCTCATGTGACTCCAGAATAGGTACCATTACTTTAGAAAGGAGACATGCCACCTTCAACAAGATGCCTTCTGTAGCAAAATGGAAGAGGTATCAAAAAATATAATGGTAAGTATCCATGGTATCAACCGGAAAGAATCTAGTCCTAAAGTCTCCCACGCCCCACATGACCCAGCATAGGATCCATTGCCTTGAAATATTGATTTCCATCGCACTTTTGAGAGCATTTTATCAAAATGTGGAGCACAGAACATTTTGAGGAATACTTATAATACCCTTCAAAGAAATTGAATTAAACGAATGGTTGAGCTAGTGATCTCATTATTAATATTTTGGGGCAACTTATGGTAACACAGACACTGTTTTACTAATAAATGTTTAAACGATTATTTTCAAAAATGGCTTACTTATTGAATCAGTTTTATTTCACAGGGAATTTTTTTCTAGCATCTTTCTTCAAAAATTTCCACTATTGAACATTGAGATATTTGGAATTTCTCATCTGGACATATTAAAGCCCACTAAGTGTGCACAATTATCCTACTAGAAATCCAATGATACAGAGAGGAAAAATGAGAATGTTAGGACAATTATAGAAATGGAATTGCAACTTACTTTTTCAGACAATTGGTGATAAGAAGATGGACATCTTGTCTTTCATCTAACAATAGCATGGCACCCAGATAACCAATTCTCTTGTCCGTGAAGCGAGGTGACGCAATCAATTTTAAGCATTCCAACTGTCCAAAATGAGCAGGATATCTTAAAAAAAACAAAAAAATCAGTACATAAGCATGGACTGAACATGCAGTAAGGAACAGCTTCCCTGTGCCCCTTTGAAAAAATTTTCAACTCTAACTCAGTACACCAAGGACAACTATCATCCAAAATTGAAACTTCTTTGGGAGCGAATTCTGAGATTATGGGACCCTCAGTTGAAACACGTAAAACTGAAGCAGAGGCCCTGACAAATGCTTTTTCATTTTACATGATAAAATATTTTGTATATTTTGGTAAACTGAATGTTTTTCTGCAGAATCCTTTCATAGGACATTTAAATGCCATCTTGAGCACATCGTTGTGTCTACCTTGGTCAAAATTAAGTTATCTTCCATGAAAGATGGACCTTTAAACAAGTACATTCATCTATGGCAGCTAGCCTTGTAAAATGGTTTGCATATTTTGCTGTGCTAATTGCTTTCCTTTTTGGGTTTATAGTAAGTGCAGTTGTTGAAACAACAGTAATTTGCTTGCCTAAAAAGAGATAAAATCAACAGTTCTCTGATCATTTTAAAACTTACCCTAGCATATGAATGTAGAGAAGTTTTGCTATATTTCTACACCTCCAAACACTATCTTCTTCCCGAAATGTTGATCGAATATAGGCACATTCTTTATTAATCACAGATCTTTCTTCAGCAGCAGTGCGAGATGCACGGATTTGGCGTATCAGATCACGGAGCCTTGTTGGAGTGGGCATCCTCACTGCAAGTAAAACAAACAAAACATGCATGGTTTACATTCTCGTCTTTATAAAAGAAGAACTATTTTATATACATAAAATCAGGAGCAGATCTAACTAGGGGGGAGGGGGGCAAAGAGAGCATTACACCCGTTCATTTTTATGTGTTAAAAGATACAGACAACCTGCTTCACATTACGAGGGGGGCGGGGTCTAAAACTCCAAAATGCATAATTACATACTTGTTTTATGAACATCCCCCTGGAATAGTTTCAATTCAATTATTGCAATATTGTACCGCATTCCTACAATCAAATAACTTTGAAACACTGTATTTAATTAAATTGAAAAACACAAACTAATTGCAGTAAACGCACGGGTCGTAAGACGGGATGTTGGAGTTCCTTGGCCAACGTGCTTAAAAAGTTCAGCTTAAAGCTGATAACTCATTACAGAGGGGAAAAGCTCACACACAAGCACAATTTTCCCTCAAAGAGATACGCTGTTGTAAGGCAACTGCACTGAGGATTGGCCCAACAAGACCGAAACGTGTCTGCAAATGCCTTCCTAAATGGATGTAACTAGTGTTGCTCCGAACAGCGTATCTCTTTGAGGGAAAATTGTGCTTGTGTAGGAGCTTATCCCCTCTGTAATAAGATATCAGCTTTAAGCTGAACTTTTTACGCTCGTTGGCTAAAAGACTCCAACATCCCGTAAATTGAAAAAGGCGAGGAAAATTCACCTTAAAATCATAGTCTGTGTAATTTTCTTCTCAGAGCTTTCACGAAAGTTCTTTCAGGATCCAAACACTACAAGTGATAGTGAAAGAATTTTTGGGAGACATGGGCTAAACACAATACTACATACCTCTTTCAACAGCTTCATTAATCACCTGTTTGATGGCAGCCATGTTGAAGGCTGGATTGAACCTGTCAGGCAGAGAGAATAACAAAACTAATTTATGGAATTACAAATCAAAAAGCTTCAAACATGAAGTAAAAAAATAAGCGGCAAAGCAAGGAAAATTCATACATACCAGTAAAGTGGATGCATCTCACCATAGGTCAAGGTGAAACTGCAAAAAGCATGGATACCTTGTTCGCAGCCTTTAAAAAGTGTTTGATGTTAATTGTTTTTTATTTTATTTAAGAGTAACAAATCAACCGTCTTTCTGGAAATATTCACAGATTATTCTTCCAAGATAAAAGTGAGGGAAGTTTCCAAGAAATGACAAGTATTCTTTCATTTCAAAAATAAATCATGACGCGACGGTTGCAACTTCACAAGTTACGTTATGCATTCGTGTAGTTTCACCATCGATATGAGAGCAAATTCATTTATTCCTAAAGGAACAAATCAACATGAAGGTCCTAGAAAAGGTATAGATTTCACTTCGGATAAGTCCATCAGGATTGGATGCTTTTAGATTTGAAATTTATGAAAGCAAGAATATGCTTGCAGAAATTATATTGTTTGCAAGAAACAAAAATAAGGAATAAAGGACAGAAAAAAACCCTGACGGTATCAACAATTTAAAACTATTAACACCCCTGATGTCTTATCCTATCCTGGCAATTGATATTAAATTAGAGCCACACATGATAGTTTTTCAGCGATATTTTCTTGGGAGGGTCAAAGTAGCAACATAACCTCCGAGATTCTTTCCCAGGTACTGGTGTTATACTTATGGGTGTGGGAGGTATATGTTCATTCTTTTTGGTGCATTTTTCACTACTTGCTGCTAACTTTACACGATGTTGATGAAATCATCGACTACTGTGTGTCATGATAATGAAGGCTCTGTCCTCTGTTAACGCCTATTTATTATAATCGCCTACAAAATGAATATCAACATACTGGTGAATTTCAGCGCAAGGACTGAAGTGACGCAAATTAAACTGATTGATTGTTTTATTTGGGATGGTCTGTGGCAGAAGGGCATGCTCTTTGTGTACTTCTCTTGTAATCAACAACACAGTATCAAACCGAGGGCAGTTCCGTCTCTTGACTGGTTTGGGTTTATACGAGGAATGCTGAACATGAAGCTTAAAAATTCGATTGCTGGGCTCAGAATATTCGGAAAGAGTGATGATTTACTCATAAGTAGGAATGAACAAACCAAAAGAAATACAGAACGTAGGGAGGGTTTGAACTGATGTGCTTTAAAATAGGGTCAAAAATTGAAGGTAAATAATGTAATCTGAAGGAGGAACACCTGCCAGTACCTGCGAGTTGCTGCCTTCTTCGGTGACCGCACGTGTCAGCCGTAGACCGTAGAACCAAACGCACAAACGCTCACTAATTACTTTGAGAAATTGTCACAATTAACAACATTTAATTGAAAGGGAATAATGGGAAAGCTGAGGACTTGCAAGAGGAAAATTGTTAGATCAGCAGAGCCAAGTCACCTTGACAGGCAGGAATATGTGTCATTTCTGAGACCACTAACCAGAAATGTCGCTTAGTAATATTCTGGACAAGAAGTCATTAAAACCACAATAAAACGCACCGAAATTAAGCACTTTTCCATATTACATATGCATACATGCTTCACATTTCACATCCACATCCACTCCTTGAAGTCTTGGACAGACCCACAGGTGCACTAGACTCAACTGTGCACTTGATGTGTACATGTGGCGAAAAATCCAAAGAGCAAATTAGAGTCGCACTCGCAATAGGATTGGCATAGCCAATAGAGTGACTGTAAGTACCCAATCAGCTGAGGACTTGTCACGCGTGGCGGGAATTCAATTCACATTCTCGTTGGTCATTCTCCAAACCTCATTCCTGAATGGATTTGGATGAGGAAATAAATATGTTACTTACTTTGAGAACTGTCAGAGGGGGGGGGGGGGTGTGCTTAAGTTATATTCATTCACCTATCCTGTTCATACCTACTACATACACCTATCAAATACCGCCAATACCTATCGACAGCTGTGTTTTGGGATAGTGGTGCGTCAAATTTGAGGGTCTTTTGAAGAAGACCTTCTTAGACTAATTTACTCTTTCAACCGGCCATTTTCTAATCGCAAGTGAAAACACAATTCTTCAATAAAATCAATTTGTTAAAATTAATTTCTCCAAAATTAATTCGCATGCTGTAGAGAGGGTGAAGCATTCTGTTATTTGGTTCCTCTTCAAAATTTCACATATAGAATTAATTTAAAATACGATTTTCGCACGAAAATGGCTAATGTAGACTCCAAAAGAGCTTCAAAATAAATAGTGAAATCTTTATTCAGCATTGGCTACGAAAAATATCAATTTCCCGCTCTCAAAAAACAAAAGTATGATAGTTATCAAATCGCACACTACAACAAACTATATTGCCAAATTTCGCGATCAAGTGATGTTTCTTCCCCACCCCGTGTTGTTCGAAATGGTAGACAACATGCAATAGCTGAGCCGAAACGTCGAGATTGAGGTTGCCGTATATTTTCATGATGCAAAGACTCACAAAACAATTATTGTTTGGAAGGCGATTTGACTCAAGCAGGTAATTATGGTTTCAATGAGCGGGAAAATTGAATTTACGCGTCGAAAAACGTTAATATCTTGGGTAAGAGTTCCTTTCAAGTTGCATTGCAAACCAAAGCATTGTTAGCACGCAATGTTCCACTTCTTTTCACCATTTAATCACATTGAACAACCAAAGAATGACGGGGAAAACTTCGTCGACATTCAACTGATCAAAAAGAATGTTACAGCTAGAGTACCTGTATATGGAAGAGTATTGCCATCTCTGTGCCGCTCTCTGATTGGTCCATCAGTTTTAGGTTATCATGGAGCTCCAAAGTTGGCCTAATGTAAAAAAACCCGACCCAGAGGAATACGTATTATCCGCTGAGAAATGAATATAATCCCACTCAAAGCTTAATTTTCGGCAAAAATATCCATAATGGGTCGATCCGAACTCAATTCGATCAGAAGTTGATCATAAAAAATTTCTATCACATCCAAAATCACATCTAAAACTTTGGAGAACTTTGTCTCCATCTTGTTTGTTTACATTGAGCAAAACTAGGGGTGGGGGGGGGCTGCGTTTTTTTTTACATCGGTCCAACTTTGGGGCTCCATGATAGCCGACCAATCAGAGAGCGGCACACTATTATTGTAGTAAAACCCGCCTGGTAAAAATTGGCAGTAGAATCTGTGTTCCAAAATACCATAGACCTACAGCCGGCTGTAAGATTTCCAATAGTTTCTATAGCCGGCAACACAATTTCGTATAGCCTTTTATAGCCGATGGCGATTGAGCAACAGCCTGGCGATAAAGTGTATGCTGAACGTTACTAATTAGGTACGGATGCTAGGACTTGGTGAGTTTTTGGACTACCACTCTCGTTTTGGGCCGCAGTATCTTGATTTAATTTGCGAGGAAAGCTACGTACTTTTGAAGGATGCCTGCCATTCCTAATATGTTGGAGCACCTTCAATTGTGTATGATACTGTGCAATACCGCTGGTGTGAAATAGTTGCTTCAAGCGCCGCGGTACGCTGCGGCGCGGCGGCGGGCGGGCAGCCAGCGCTGATCGCGCATTGGCTCCTACAAACCTAACAGGGATACTTCACGCATTGCGCAATGCGTGAAGCATCCCAGTTAGGTTTGTAGGCGCCAGTGAGCCGCCGCTCCGCTTTGTGTTAGGCTCTAATATTTAATCTCGCGGAGACAGCGTTTTTCAACTCATGACTTTGAAATGTTTGCACACTCTGTATGGATTATTCTCATTCTAATTGATGAAAAAAATTATGTAGTAAAGGAAAATATAATAAGCGTTTTGTAAATATTAAGGTGATTCCGTACAAACTTAAGGGTTTTCAAAGCATAAGAATTTCTACACAATTTCTTATAGCCTTTAATAGCCGGCGATGGCGAAAAAGCAACAGCCAGGTGATAAAGTGTAAAGCCCGGCTATAGGAACTATAGCCCGGCTGCATAATTTTCTATCGCTTCGTATAGCCCGGCCGTATGATTTTCTCCGCATTCTACAGCCAGCTATATGATTTTCTATCGCCCTCTTCAGTCGGCTAGAAGAACTCCTGTGGTATTTTGAAACGCAGCTCCTATCGCCAATTTTTACCAGGGAATGATTGAGATGGCAATACTCTCCCGAATAATGGTACTCTAGTTACAACCGCTGAGGCAATCTCCAGTAGTAATACCGCACCTGGACCTGAGGTCTGGAGCTTCAATACGGACATCATAGCTCAGTGCTCCTATCATAAGCCGAAGGAGCTGAGAAGCTCTGAATTCAACTTCAGTCTGTATGTATGTGTGAGTCGCTTTTACGGCGCACAAGGGCGCTCTGCGACGCCCACCCGCCACAGAAATCTGTCATGGTAGAGATCCCCCGGAAGCTGGCATCTCTCCATCTCTTGACGGATGCCCTCTACCCACCATTTGGCTGGACGCCCTCTCCGACGCCTACCTGGAGGAACCCACTCCGACACCTTCTTCAGCAACGTGGAATCCGCTATCCTCTGCACATGCCCATACCATACCAACCGCTTGGTCATGATATATATCGTGCAAATGTTTCCCCTTAACGCAACGCCCATTAATCTCTCGGACCCGTTCATTCCTGATACGTTCTCTCCTCGAGATTCTAGCCGAGCTTCGCCAGAAATCCACCTCGGTCGACTTGAGCATTTCTTGAGTCCGCTTCATTAACTGCCACACTTCACTGTCATAGGTCATTACAGGTTTGACAACAGACTTATAAATCCTCTTTTTGTTGTCCCTGGAGATTCTCTGGTCCCAGAGAATCCCATTCATTCCTCTATTGAACCTTTACTTCCATTAAAAGTCTGCATTCTCAATCTCGGTAATAAAAGTGACGCGTTGAAAAAGGGAACTCCTCCATAAGGATACACGAGGATCTAAATCTCGCTGTGCGTGACCTCACTATGGATGTACTTTTCAAGAGTGTTCTGCCGTTCATCCACTACGATTGCATCTTTTACCTACGGTATCGTATAGGGACTGAAAGGGAGGGGGAGGGAGGGCTTGTCACATTTGCAGTAAAATTTTGCACATAGTAAATTTAGTACAGGCTTAAGAAGCGAATTTTAGAATTAAGTATATTGAGAAGAGAACAAAAAAGACTCAAGGAGCTGGAGCGAGAGAGTGAGAAAGTTAGGTAGGTACTTACCTTTTTCTGGAACCGATGCGTCACTGTGATAGAACATGATGCTGGAATGACGTGGCCACTAAATTAATCCATTAAATTCAACAAAGCCAGTGCTGACGTAATTAATTTTCCCTGCCTGTTTTGATGAAACTCTAATGGGCGGCGCAGTTTTTGAGAAATTGCCGCCCAGTCGAAATCATGTCTAAAGACGAAATAGGTATCCACGTGCCTAGGATGCCTTAGTGAATATCTGAGTTACGGCAACGAACAATTTCTGAATAATGAAAAAATAGTCTCATCTGCCTGTCGCAAAAAAGGTGGCAGAGCACTAAGGGTCATTTGTCGCTGATCGTTAGAGAATCGAAGGCTCTTCGGAATAAATACGCTTTGGTAAAAAAAAAAAAAAAAAAAAAAAANAAAAAAAAAAAAAAAAAAAAAAAAAAAAAAAAAAAAAAAAAAAAAAAAAAAAAAAACCTGTCGTATTTCAACTCTTTGCGCTAGCAAACTTATAGGTACCTACCGCCCTGGTAAAAATTGGCAGTAGAATCTTTGTTCCAAAATACCATAGATCTACAGCCGGCTGTAAGATTTCCAATAGCTCCTATAGCCGGCAACACAATTTCTTATAGCCTTTTATAGCCGATGGCGACTAAGAAACAGCCTGGCAATAAAGTGTATGCTAAACGTTACCAATTACGGAGGCTAGGACTTAGTGAGTTTTTGGACTACCGCTCTCTTGTTGGGCCGTAGTATCTTGATTTATTTTGCGAGGAAAGCTCCGTACTTTTGAAGGATGCCTGCCATTCCTAACATGTTGGAGCGCCTGCAATTTTGTATGATACTGTGCAATACCTCTGGTGTAAAATAGTTGCTTCAAGCGCCGTGGTACGCTGCGGCGGCGCGGCGCGGCGGGCGGGCAGCCAGCGCGAAACGCGCATTGGCGCCTTCAAACCTAACAGGGATACTTCACGCATTGCGCAATGCGTGAAGTATCCCTGTTAGGTTTGAAGGCGCCAGTGCACCGCCGCTCCGCTTTGTGTTAGGCTCTAATATTTAATCTCGTAGAGTCACCGTTTTTCAACTCATGACTTTGAAATGTTTGCACACTCTGTACCTATGGATTATTCTCATTCTAATTGATGAAAATAAATGTAGTAAAGGAAAATAGTAATGTGCGTTTTGTAAATACTAAGGTGATTCCAAACTTAAGGATACAAACTTAAGGATTTACAAAGCACAAGAATTTCTACACAATTTCTAATAGCCTTTTATAGCCGATGGCGAAAAAGCAACAGCCAGGCGATAAAGTGTAAAACCCGGCGATACAAACTATAGCCCGGCTGTATAATTTTTTATCGCTTCGTGTAGCCCGGCCGTATGATTTTTTCCACTTTCTACAGCCAGCTACATGATTTTCTATTGCCTTCTTCAGTCGGCTATAAGAAATCCTATGGTAATTTGAAACGCAGCTCCT